TTTAATTCCCTGGCCTTCCTGAAGAAGTCCTATTCATCCTCCAAGCCCCCAGTACAAATCTCACCTTCATGAAGCCTTTCCTTTTCTTCCTCCTATCCCAAGCAAAATCAGGTCCCTATTTTTCTCTGGCACTTAGCTCCATTATTAACATTTTATTGTTATTTTCATCCTCACTATACAAGTTATTTAAAAAACCATTCCATGACTTATAATTATTATAGAATTTAATTATAATATGGCGGTTTATTTATACCTTTTTATGGGTCTTACTTACCTTTGTTTCCCTAGTACCCAGCAGTCTCTTGGTTTATCGATTGAATAAACAGAACAGCAGCACTTTAGGTAGAGTCAGAAAGTCATGCTAGCATCAGGGGAGCCTAGACTCAGGAACTCCCCAGGTTCCCTTGTCCCATTTCTGACCATTGGGAACCTCTGCTTGCAAATGGTAGGGCTGGAGAAATCAGCAGACACACCCATTGGTGCAAAGTAGCTGGAGAAAATGATGGAAGAAGGCCTCACAGCACTGTAGTTGTAGCGGTGAGCATCAGTTTCATCTGCAGAGTTTTGCTATCGGAGGAAGAGAGAAACATAAGGAAGTTCATAAGTTTTATTATGTGTATTGACTACAGAAAAGTGCTTGTGTCGCTGACTCCTGTTTTATTTAGGCCACAGCCATCCCCCAGAAGTTTAGAACAATGCTTTCTGTCTGGGAAAATTGCTCATATGTTTTATTTTTAAACCTAAGATCTTTTTTAAAATTTTGATTTTGTTTTTGTTTGTTTGTTTTTTGGCTTTTTGTAGGTTTTACGCATATGAAAGTGAAAACATTTCAGTTTTATAAGTACAAGGATCATGCATTCCAGATTTTCTAGGACAGTGCTAATTTTAGATCTTATGTTCTGTTTTCAGACTGTGTATCCTGGTTTTCTAATATGGAAAGTATGGTTGCTCCTACAATTGACTGGCCAGCGATACTGAAAGGTCTACTAGGAGTCAAATAGCTAATTATCTTACATTTCTCTTTGAGAAATTAAGGAGGGCTGCCTCATGGACCAAAAAATCCTAAAGGTAACATGGAACTGGCATTTAGTAAATTGCCCTGAGCTCCAGACTTTTGTTGAATGTGGTTTCTTGGTGAGGACAATGTGTATTAACACTCCTCTCCCTACCACAAATTAGTGTAAAAATCCTTCAAGGAAAAAATGGGTCATTAAGAACTGTTCTTTCATTAAGAACTATTCTTTAGTCCCACCTCTAAAACTTCAGAAATGTTTCTTTGTGAGGTGTCACAGCAGCCCACCAAGAAGGACACTAGGCTCTGCTAGAGCCTGTTGCTGAAGCATCCGACCCCCTTGTGCCACAGCCCAGATGCAATTGCTCTGGTTATTATGGGTTCAATTGCTATGCTTTCTCTTTCTGTTTAATAGATTCAGATCATATTAAAACTTAATCATCCCATTGCGACCAAAGTCATCTCAATTTTAATTGAATGGCCCACAATTATACTATCTTTTTACCTATTATATTAAAAAGTATAACTTTTTTTGAATAGTACAAAAAAGATAAATGCTACACTTATATTCTTTTATATCTAAGGATCATAAGCTTTTAAAAAGTTGCTAAGTAACAGTTACATTCAGTTGTTTTTAGTCATCTGAATGCCGGTATGTTTCTAGGATCCTGGTTACATTCTTTAAAAGACATGTATGTCCTTCAGTCAATATGTCATTTTACGAAACAATAACTACAGAATAGCATCAAAATCTGTCATTGATAGGTGACAAGCTATTAGTACATAAACCACATCATCTTTTGGGAAAAGGAAGCTATTTTCAAATGTCATTAAATTGGGAGCTACTTCTGGCTCTGTAGAAGTCTTATGGTTGTTCCATGTGTTTCCATAATGCTTCTGTAATGGAAATTCTGCAATAAGTAAGAACAGGGTCCTTCCCAGTAGCCAGTCAGTCTGTATTCACAGATTCCTGTTAGCTATTTCCATAGCTGACATCCGAGTGTTTCCATCTGCCTGAGTTTTCTTCCCTTGCCACCTCATTACTTTACTGTTATGACATTCAGGAACTTCTCACACACTTGCCCAGAATTCCAGTAGCCCTTCAGTTGGGGATAACATCCTTACCGTGAGCCAGGCTTGAGCTCCCTCTCTGTGATCACCAATGAGTGAAGGGGACAAGAATATGTTTAGCAGTGGGGCTTGGTATGAGTTCTACCACATTTGACAAGGGGCAAGAGAGGGTGAGGCCACAGAGAGCTGGAACTGGAGTCTGCTAAAACAGCTCTGAAAATGAAAGAGAAATGGGGTCAGAATTTTTTCTGGATAGTGGTCATATTTTTCTGCCAGTGCACAAGTCGTACTCATTGACAAATGACAACCAATGTAAGTGTCAAATAGAGATTGAGGAATCGATCTCTAGAACACCATTTTAACAGGAGGCTTCGTTCTTCTTTTCTTATCCAGAACTAAGAGAAAAAAAATGAATATGGTTTTTGCTCACAGAATGGATAACAGCAAGCCACCTTTGGTTATTCCGACACTTCTGGCGCCCCTCCAAAACCACAGCTGCCCAGAAACAGCTACACCTCTGTCAAGGCATGGCCTGATGGACTTATATGAGGAGCACGGTTGGATGAGCAACAGAACAGACCTGCAGTATGGACTGACACCCGGGGAAGTGGCCACAGCCAGCATTTTCTTTGGGACTCTGTGGTTGTTTTCTATCATTGGCAATTCCCTGGTTTGTTTGGTTATCCATAGGAGTAGGAGAACTCAGTCCACCACCAACTACTTCGTGGTCTCCATGGCATGTGCTGATCTTCTCATCAGCATTGGCAGCACGCCTTTCGTCCTGCTGCAGTTCACCACGGGAAGGTGGACACTTGGCAGTGCAATGTGCAAGGTGGTGCGATATTTTCAGTATCTCACACCAGGTGTCCAGATCTATGTTCTCCTCTCCATCTGCCTAGACCGGTTCTATACCATTGTCTATCCTCTGAGCTTCAAGGTGTCCAGAGAAAAAGCCAAGAAAATGATTGCGGCATCATGGGTCTTCGATGCAGCCTTTGTGACCCCTGTGTTCTTTTTCTACGGCTCCAGCTGGGACAATCATTGTAACTATTTCCTCCCTTCTTCTTGGGAAGGAACTGCCTACACTGTCATCCATTTCTTGGTGGGCTTTGTGATTCCATCTGTCCTCATAATCTTATTTTACCAGAAGGTCATAAAGTATATTTGGAGAATAGGCACTGATGGCCGAACTGTGAGGAGGACAATGAACATTGTCCCAAGGACAAAAGTGAAAACTATCAAGATGTTCCTCATTTTAAACCTATTGTTTTTGCTCTCTTGGCTGCCTTTTCATGTAGCTCAGCTGTGGCACCCCCAGGAACGAGACTATAAGAAAAGTTCCCTTGTGTTCACAGCGATCACGTGGATATCCTTTAGTTCTTCAGCCTCTAAACCTACTCTGTATTCAATTTATAACGCCAATTTTAGGAGAGGAATGAAAGAGACTTTTTGCATGTCCTCGATGAAATGTTACCGAAGCAATGCCTATACTATCACAACCAGTTCAAGAATGGCCAAAAAAAACTATGTTGGCATTTCAGAAATCCCTCCCATGGCCAAAACTATAACCAAAGACTCAATTTATGATTCATTTGACAGAGAAGCCAAGGAAAAAAAGCTTGCTTGGCCCATTAACTCAAATCCACCAAATACTTTTGTCTAATTTCTCAGATTTTTTTCCAATTATTGTTAATGCACCAGAGATTAAAAAGCTTTAACTATAAAAACAAAAGCTATTTATATATTTTTAAAAATCAACTTGCTGAGGGAATGTTTTCTTTCGTAAAATGTATTCACCTATTGATTACAGTTTTTGTGGGTTTTACTTGCATTACTTTTTGTTTTAAAAGGGAAGCATTCACTTTGAGTTCCTTTTACTTAAAAAAAAAAAAAAAGGAGAATGCTTTCCTATCTTTTATTTACCATTAGGTTCAAAAAGCATCAACCATACACACAGTCTTTGATGAACGATTCAACCTAGTTTCACTGTTTCCTTTTTCTCCTCTCTATCCAAATATTATAACTGTGGGCATCTGTTCCAAATGAAATCCCATGTCACACATTTCAGAGACTTGTATTTCTTCTACTAAGCAACATTTAGGAAGTGTTAATATCATACATGGTTTTACATTACCTTCTAAGTACTCACTGACCAGCTCTGCTATGGAAAACACTCCATATACAGTATTGGAATATACTAGAACTTGCTGGGCAGCCTTCTGTGATTGAATTTTAATCAGGATTCTGAGGAAACAAAACTTACAGAGTTGCCTAATCTCTTTCATTTTCCCTTAACTTAAGCAGCTGATGATGCCTTGAAAATTTTTAAATCAACGGGACATAGATGTCCCATCTAGGCTGTGTCTAGGACATTCACTTTCTCTTTTTGAGTTAAACTCAAGCAAATGAGCAGGTGTCCTTGCTAGGCAAGCCTAGAAAATGCCAAAGGGAAAAATGACAGATGGCATTTCTCTGCGCTCCGCCCTTTGGCTGCCCGGCCCTGACCCTATACACTAGGATAGCAAGGGTGAGGAACACCTTATTCTCTGTCCTAGAGACACACATCAGGCCATGTCTCCAGCCAGTGCTGCCTCCCCATCACCTCTCCAGAATATACCTCTCCAAAATATATCTTCATACCCTCTCCAAACTCAAACTCTTCTTTGCCTGTGATGAGTCGGGATTCTCTTCTCTGGTTGCCAGGTCTCCATTATTTCAAATCTAGGACCAGCACATTTTTAAAATGTCCTTATTTAAACAATAAAGGGCTTGCAGACAAAACCAGTATGTATTTTCACATACTCGTTAATAAGAGCTGCAAATAATAATTCCAGTTCAGCAATTTTACCTGCATTATCTCATTTTATCCTCTCAAGAATTCCGTGATGTACTTATTCTCTGCTTTATAGATGAGGAAGCTGAAACTCAAAATTATGTGACTTGTCCAAGTTGGAGTGTGACAGAGCTGGTATTCACACTCAGATCCTTTAACTGCAAGTCTGTTGCTCTTCCCTTAACGTTGCAGATGTCACTCCAGAGAACATTTAACTGGCCAAACCCATCCAGGCCTCAGTGGGCTTCCTGGCTGCTGCTTGGGTGGAAGTCTAACATCTTGGAGAACTTGGCCATTCTTAAAAGGAGGGTCTAGATGGAATTTAATGGGCTGACCCTCACCTTTTCCTTGACTGTGTATTATAGATTGTTGCATTTGTGGTACTGAATGTGCAAGATATAGAAATAAGCCTGTACCTTCCCACCTCGCAGACACAGGGAAACAAGACAAGCTTGGGTTTGATATTTGGGGCAAGGAACAACAATAAAGCATTTCATCTGCAAAACATCTACAGAAATGATGTTTTTAAGTGCAGGTGCTTCCTTCAATAAATACATTCAAAAGATAAAAATAATATCTTTTTTTTCCTTTTCATATTCTTATTTATCCCAACAGCAAATGCCACTAAAAATGACAAAATAAGCTGATGTTTGCCTCACTTGGCCCTTGAATTTTATGGTTCAGACTTGTTTTAAAAAATAGAAGTAAAAATAATAATAAAAATAAAAAATAGAAGTAATTTTTTTCTGTCCTTTTAAATAGAATATTATTTTTTAAAGTTAGATTGTAAAATGTTAAATTTAATTCATTTCGATTTATTTTTATATGTATCTTCAGTTTCAATTTAAAAGTGATTAGATGATTACTAAGCTCCATTCTGTCTTTGATGTTCTACGAGTTTATCCCAGTAAGTGGAAATTCGGTGAGACCATCATATAAAAACTCTTGTTAGAGAAAGTACTAGTTTTTTAAAACATCCCCCAAATAATGACAAATTAAGAGTGTTAATCAAATCATAATTGAGAGAGCCCCCAAATCTCATGACCTATAAAAATTCAGCTATGCTCTCTCAGCATGTTGATACTTCACTGTATTTTAGTTTCGTTTAATGTTCAGGATTCCTATTGTCTCACTTGATCCTGAAATTGGAGAAAATTGGATATAGTGCCCAGATTGATGAATATTTGCATGTTTCAGCAACCCAAGAACATTCACCAGACCTTACATTTACCTGGCAAGAACCAAAGTTAAATTGCAGGCAGGCAGGCTTTTGGAGAGAATAAGAAAATCACTCCAGTCTCCTTAACCAGCCACTCAGTGATGTGCACCATGAATCTAGCTTCATGGATTCTCCACACAGGAGTTCAAGAAAGGTGACAATGGGGGGCAGGGTTCAAAGTAGAGGTAGTTCTACCTGGCTCCAGGTTCCCATTAACTGTCAGAAGAAGGGACAAGGATGCATCCTTTGGGGTGGAATTCAAATTTCTCCCTTTCTTCTAATCTTCGGTGAAAGCATTATTCTAACCAGGCTGCACATACTGTTCGGATGGGCTTTCCTGTGGACCTACCATCACAGGTTTACCCAGGATTCCTGGAGCTGATTCCTTAGGCCAGTGTTCTCGCGCAGGAAGGACATTTTTACCGGGCGCGGGCGGGGGTGGATGGGGGGAGGGGAGAGAGGGCGAGGCTCCACTAAGTATCAGAGAGCAGAATCGTTTGCCAAATGAAGTTGACAGTTTTGCCTCTTCTGGTGGCCACAATCCTTCCCTTTACCCTTCCAGCCTTGCTGCTACCTGCTCAAATTGACTTTGAAGCAACATAACCAAGATCTGTTGGTGTTACCTGACCAGGATCAGCTTTGAGGTTCCATCCCTCTGTAAGAACCACATGTAAAAGAAGCAAAGAATTAGAGACTTTTAGAGTAGAAGGGATGTCGGGAGACCTAGCCCAAGCCCCTCATTGCTTAGAAGAGGAAATTAAAACCAAGAAAGGTCAAATCAGAAGTAAACTAAAATGCCTTCTGCCAACCAACATTCTTTTCGTCATTCTGCTTGTGTGATTCATTTATTGGAGAAAAGGTCCTCGCTGTGTGCTGAAGAACTTGAAGAAAAGAAACAATACCCCACTGTTCAGTTAACCTGCTAATTTATCTGAAACAGAGATGATCTTACCGTGCTGTAATTAGAGAGCAGTGAAAACGCAAACCGACTTTGTCGAGCTGTTTTGCAGAATGACCACTTTGTGGCACTGTGGCCAGTAGACAGCCCACCACCTCTTCATGATGCCTGTCACACTGGCAATTTCAGAGAAGTCCTCATCTCATAGCAACAAGACTGAAAATTGCTGAGTACCCAGATTAACGAATCAATCAGTGTGTTCAAAACACAAAGTATATAAACATTGGAGGAGATTCCAAAATAATACCTTTTACAGACTTGAAACCACTAGTCAAAATATTATTTTAAACTCATTTTACAAATGATATCATTTTCAAAAAAACCCATCAGACCACCAAACTGTCATTAGTGCCACCCCCACTTACAAGGGCCTCTCTCTTTTATGCTCCTTTTATCATTTGATTCAGAATTCGTGGACCTTTTCATAACAGTGCATTCTAGACTCTCCCTAAAATTAAATTTTCCTGTGTTCCTGGTAAGTAGACAGTTAAATTTATTTTCGGCCTATCTCATTTCCTCAGAGCCTCTTTAATTTTTTAAGCTACTATAATCTGCACCATTCTGAACATTTTGCTCACCTGAACACTTCTGTTCAAAAGCTCTGTATTCTTTCTCAGAAGTAGCCTCTTTAAAAGTATGTATAGCTTTGAAAACTCTCTATCAACCCTCATTGATTATACACTTAGGGTTATACATTAGGGATCACCTGTAATTTGAAGGATGTGTGATTTTAGTTCTGCAGGAAAATGACCCTCAACAAGTGCTGGGTTCTGCAGTGACGAGTCATGTATAGCTGGTTGCAGGATTGTGATGTAGGTCTGGAAGCTTGAAAACATAATCTGGTTTTCAGCAGTCAGTCAATAAAGCAGTTCTAGCTGTTTGCCCACAACTGCTAGATATAGATTAAAACTCCTTTAAAAGATTTTGAATGGATCTTCTCTCTTCTGCTTCCCTGCTGTATCCTCCAAAGAACAATCTCTTTAAGGATACTACTATTTTGTTAGATAAGACCATGGCACAGATACCTGGACAGCATTAAAGTAGATGTGAAGAGTTGTATGGCAGAAAGGGTAGGCAGCACAATGGCTACAAAGAATGGATTTATACTCTGGTCATCAGTCTAGATTCAGTTAAACTTCTGGGCTGTCTGATGGACCCTTTAAAAATTAGTAAAAATTAGGTAAAAAATTCCAGTGATATATTTAGCCAGCAAAGTTTTCCTTTGTCACAAATAGTATGATGTTTTGTTTTGTTTTTCCAAGGGCTCTGGAGTCCACTTCTGTGTTGAATTTCAGGATCTGCTTACCACCTGTTTACCCAGCAAAGTATTCTCAAACTCCCACTTCTTCATTTTTAAAATAGGAAAATAATAGGGCCCACCTGTATATGGGTTTTCCAAAAAAAAAAAAACAGAAACAGTAGGAGATAGTTTGATGGTAGATAGATGATAATATTTTGAGAAATTGGTTCATGTGATCGAGGGAGTTGGCTAGTTTGGAATCTGTAGGAAAGGCCGGCAGGTTAGAAACTCAGGTAGTTGATGTTGTAGTCTTGAGTTTGAAATCTATAGAGCAGGCCAGGAGGGAGAAGCTGATGTTGCCACAGTCTTGAGGCAGAATTTCTTCTCTGGGAAACCTCATTTTTACCCTTAAGACCTTCAAACAATTGGATGAGGCCCACCCATATTATCAAAGATAATCTCCTTTACTTAAAGTCAACTGACTGTAGACGTTAACCACATCTACAAAGTATCTTCAGAGCAACACTTATATTAGTGTTTGAATAAAGAACTAGATAAT